TCTATCCTATTTGGAGTTCATTCAGCTTTTTGTATGCTTACCTTCTCGTCTTACAAGATGTTGGGGAAGTTTTTTCCAAGAGCTCTTCAATAATTTTCTCTGTTCTTGTCTCTTCCTATTCTGAAATTTCTATCACCCATAGTTGTTCCTCTTCATGGTATCCCACATAACTTTTAGGCTTCCTTCTGGTTTCTTCATTCTTTTTTCTGATTGTTCTTCTAATAGACTAGTTTTGAGAGACTTTTCTACAAGCTCACTAATTTGGGCTTCCATTGCTTTACATCTGCTCTCTTGTCTTTTCAATGTATTGTCCATTTCTGAGATCTTACTATTAAGTTTCTGGATTTCTAATTGCTAGTTTTGTATTATTTAAAATTTTGCATTTCTTTTGTCTGTTTCTTCTTGTAATGATTTCCTGAATTCTTCTAAAGTTTTTATTGTGTTCTCCTAGCTTTCCTTGATTTTCCTATCCATTCTTTGAAGATACATAATTATCATTCTTTTTAAATTTTTTCAGTTAGTTCTATTACCTTTTCTTCCTCAGAAATGTCTTCTTGTTCTGCATCTTGGTCATTTGTTTGAGCCATTCTCTCTTGTTTCTTTGCATGAGCTAAACTTGTCTGTTGTCTCCAGGGCATTGTGATGTTGTCATATTTGTAAAAACAAAACAGTGCGGTTGTTAGACCTAGAAAAGATAAATCTCTGGTGGGCTCCTATAATTCTAGGAGCTCACAAGGTGGTTATGGAAGGCATGTGACAGCAGAGTTCCTAGCCCCAGATGGGAGTTCCAACTGGTTTCAGTGTTATTTATGTCATGGCACTTAATCTGGAAGTTGTTTGTGAGGGTCCTTGATAGAGCTGATTTCAGTGTTTGTTAGAACCACAGGGAAGCTTAGGGCAAGGTGACTGGTCAAATGCTGGTCTGATGGCTCTGTAGGTTTTGTAGGTCTGGAGTCAAGACCATCTGAATCTAGGTGCTAAAATGGCACACCAAAGTGGCACAGTCAGCTCCTACCGAACACTGGCATGGCTCCCAACCACATGGCTTCAAACTCCCAGAGAGCCAGGTCTGTGCTGGGGGTCGATGAGGTGGGAGCTGGTCACACTTCTGGTCACCAGAGGAGCATGGGGAGAAAGAAGAAATTGCAATTTTTCCATCACCCTCACAATGCCAGGCCTCCTTTCACTGCCAAAGCTGCTCGTAGGATAGTTGTTGAGCTGCATCTGGCCAGCCATACACCAGTCAATTTCCCTCTCTTGATGTCCCTGCTCTGCATCAACCCAAAGCAAGCACTACATCCAGCTCTCTAACCTTTCTTCTGAAGTTCAGGGTACCAAAAAAGTCATCTGTGTTTCATTTTGTATCTCGTATCTTTGTAGTCAGTCAAAGCTATTCTTAATTAATTCAGGAGCCAACTACAAGCAAAGCAAAACGAGTATTCTAAGGTGGTGGTGGTTGTTAGGTATCATTGAGTCAGTTCTGACTCATAGCAACCTTATGCACAACAGAACAAAACACTGTCTGGTCTTACACCATCTCACAATCTTCATTAAGGTTGTGTCCACTGCTGTTGCCACTGAGCCAATCCATTTCATTGGGGCGGACGGGGTCTTCTTTTGCTGACCCTCCAACTTTACCTAACATGATATACTTTTACAGATACAGGCCCCTCCTGATAATATGTCTGAAGTATGAGAGACGATGTATCACCATCATGGCTTCTAAGAAGCATTCTGCTTGTACTTCTCCCAACATAGATTCATTTATTCTTCTAGCAGCCCATGGTATTTTGAATATTATTCTTCAACACCATAACTCAAATGCATCAATTCTTCTATGGTCTTCCTTATTCACTGTCCAACTTTCACATGCATATGAAGCTACTGAAAAGACCATGGGTTATGTCAGTCATACCTTAGTCCTTAACTGACATCTTTGCTCATGACACTTTTAAGAGATTTTGTGCACTAGATGTGCCTAGTGCAATATATCATTTGATTTCTTGACTGTTGCTGACAGTGGATTCAAACAAAATGAAGTCTTTGACAATTTCAATCTTTTCTCCATTTATCATGATGTTATTTATTGGTCCAGTGGTAAGAATTTTTTATTTCTTTACATTGAGTTGCAACCCATACTGAAGGTTGTGGTCTTTGATCTTCATCAGTAAGTATTTTAACTTCAGCAAGCAAGGTTGTATTATCTGCATATCTCAGGTTGTTAATAAATTTTCCTTCAATCCTAATGCCACATTCTTCTTCATATAATCCAGCTTCTCAAATTATTTGCTCAGCATACAGACTGAATAAGTATGGCCTTTTCTAACTCTTTAAAGCATTCAGTGACCCCCTTGTTCTGTTTGAATGACTGCCTCTTAGTCTGTGTACAAGTTCCTCAGAAAGATCATTTAAATACTCCAGAATACGCATGCTCTGCAATGTTTTCTATAGTTTGTCATGATTCACAGTCGAATGCCTTTGCATAGTCTATAAAACACATGCAAACATCTTTCTGGTATTCTCTGATTTCAGCCAAGGTCCATCTGACATCAGCAATTATATCCCTCACTCCACATCCTATCTGAATCTGGCTTGAACTTCTGGCAGTTCCGTGCCAATGTATTGTGGCAGCTTTTACCAAAAATTTACTTGCATGTGATAGTAATGATATCGTCCTATGATTTCTGCATTCTATTGGGTCATCTCTCTTTGGAATGGGCACAAATATGGATCTCTTCCAATCAGTTGATCAGGTAGCTGTCTACCAAATGTCTTGGCATAGATAAGTGAGTGCCTCCAGTCTGCATCAGTTTGTTGAAAGATCTCCATTTGCATTCTATTAATTCTCATTAGAGTCTTGTTCTTTGTATCTTCAGTACACCTTTGATCTCTGTCTTCAGTACCATTAGCTCTTGATTGTGGTATCTCTTGAAATGACTGAACATCATCCATTTCTTTTTGCTACAGTGACTCTGTATATTCTTTCTGTTTTCTTTTGATGCTTTCTGCATCATTCAATATTTTGTCCATCTTGTTTTAATTAAATGCCATCGAGTCAGTTCTGACTCATAGTGACATTGTACAGAATTTCCAAGAAACAGCTGGTGAGTTCAAATTGGCAACTTTTTGGTTCAAAGCAACCTTGCAGTCTAGTGTTTATCCTACAGTGCCACTTCAGGACTCCATGTTATTAGGGGCCACTGAGTTGATACTGACTCACAATGACCCTATGCACAACAGGTTAGTCCTGAGCCAACCTCACAATCATTAATACACCTGAGCCCATCGCTGCCACCACTGTGCCAATCCATCTCTTGAGGGTCTTCCTCCTTTTCTCTGACCCCCCACTTTATCAAACATGATATTCCTCTCCAGTGACCGGTCCCTCCTGATACTATGGTTGAAGGATAAGAGATGAAGTTTGGCCATTCTAGCGTCCAAGGAGCACCCTGGCTGGACTTCTTCCAACATGGATCTGTTTGTTCTTTTGGCAGTCCAGGTACTTTTAATATTCTCTTCCAGCACCATAGCACAAATGTATCAATTCTTCTACAGTCTTCCTTAGTCACTGTCCAAATTTTTGCATGCATATGAAGTTATTGAAAATACCTTGGGTCCAGAGAATCCTTTTTTTTAATTAATATTAATTAATTTTATATTAAATATTTCAAGTCGAGGTTTGAGTTTTTTTCAGTTCTTTCAGCTTGAGAAATACTGAGTATGCTCTTCTCTTTAGTTTTTCTAACTCTGGGTCTTTGCCCATTTCATTATAATTCTTGACTTTGTCTTCTAGGGCTGCCCTTTGAATTTTCTGTTCATTTCTTTTAGTTCCTCATTTCTCCCATTTACTCTAGCATCTCTACACTGGAGAGCAAGTTTCAGAGTCTTTTCTGACATTTATCTTGGTATCTTCCTTCTATTTTGTTTAATGACCTTTTGCTTTCTTCCTGTATATATGAAGTCCTTGATGTCATCCCACAATTATTTTGGTCTTTGGTCACTAGTGTCTAATGCATCAAATCTGTTCTTGAAATATCTCTAAATTCAGGTGGAATAAATTCAAGATCAAATTTTGGCTCTGGTGGACTTGTTTTAATTTTCCTCAGCTTCAGCATGAACTTTTGATGGTTATGAGCAATTGATGGTTTGGTTTGTTCCACAGTCTCCTCCTAGCCTTTTTTTTTTTTTTTTCTTTTTAAGAGACACAACATTTTTAATAGAAGTATACATATAGGGAGACTACCAGCTTGGACTGAAATATAAAGAGATTTTACAAAATGAAAAAAAAAAAAAATTCGCCGCTATAAGCTTTTATAACTTAGAAAATTTACAGCTCATATTCAGCTGGAAATATGAGTCCTAGCCTTGTTTTGAATGATGATATGGAGTTTTTCCTCTGTCTCTTCCCACAGATGTAGTTAATTTAATTTCTATGTATTCCATCTGGTGGGTATATGTGTCTTTTACGTTGTCTAAAAAAGATATTTGCAATGAACAAACTGTTGGTATTTCAAAATTCCATCTCCAGCATCATTTCTATCATGAGGGCCATATTTTCCAATCACTAATTCTTCTTCATAGCTTACAACATTTGCATTCTAGTTACCAATAATTATCAATATATCTTGATTGCATGTTTGATAAATTTCAGATTGAAGAAGTTGGTAGAATTCTCTAATTTCATCATCACTGGCATTAGTGGTTAGTAAATAAATGTGAATACTAGTGGTATTAACTGGTCTTCCTTGTAGGCATATGGATCCTATCACAGACAACATTGCATTTCAAGACAGATGTTGAAATGTACTTTTTGATGATGAATGCAATGCCATTCCTCTTTAATTTGCATTTCCAGCATAGTAAACCATGTGACTGTCAGATTCAAAATGGCCAGTAACAGTTCATTTCAGCTCATTAATGCTTAGAAAGGAGTCCTGCTATGTATGACACTGTAGGATAAGAACTGGACTGCAAGTTGAATTTGAACTACAAGGTCTGCAATTCAAACTCACCAACCACTGCTCAGAAACCCTATACAGGATCACCATGAGTTGGATTTGACTTGACAGCACTTAACAATAACAACAATGCTTAGAGTATCTATTTTTATGCATTTCATTTCATTTTAGACAACTCCCAATTTTCCTAGATTCACACTTTGTACATTACACATTCCAATTATTAATGGTTATGTGCAGCTTTTTCTCCTCATTTTGAGATATGCTAAACCAGCAAATGAAGATCCCTAAAGCTTTACTCCATTTGCATCATCATGGCTTTGAGGAGGCAGCTCTTCTCCAGTTGTATTTTGAGTGCCTTCCAACCTGAGGGACTCATCCTCAGGCACTGTATCTGACAATTTTCTGGTGTTATTCATCATGTTTCAATATTCAACATTCCGGTGCTATCTGACAGTGTTCAACTGCTTTTTTGTTAAGTACTGTGGAGTCGCTTCTGACTCATAATGACCCTATATAGGGTTTTCAAGTGTAGTGCTGTGGGTTAATGCGCCAGACTGCAAAGCCGTTTGAACTGCAAGGCTGGCAGTTCAAGTTCATCAGCTGCTCTTTGGAAACCCTATGCAGGGTTGCTATGGGTCAGAACTGACTCGACAGCACTAAACAACAACAAACAAGGCTGTACATTTTTGTAGGAGCAGAAAGCCTTATCTTTCTCCTGTGGAGTAACTGGTGGGCTTGAACTGCCAAGCTTGTGGTTTATAGAATAGTGCTTAATCTACACAGCCACCACAATCACAAGGTACGATAGGATGAGGTTTTAAGTTTATGTCTCTGATATTTCCTTATAAGGCCAAGTCTGATGCTTCCTTCTTATGGGCTTCAGGTGTGGCGCTCTAGGACCAGCTAATCCTTGGAAGCCCTATACAGGATCACTATGAGTTGGAACTGACTCAATGGCATTTAACAACAATAATGCTTCTTATAAGTCATTCATTTATTAATGTTTCTAGATAAGGAAGGTGACAATGTCCTTACATGTCATTATAATTGACTGTTAATATGCACCAACCCAATTCCTAATAAGAAAAGAAAAGGAAACCACGTCTAAGTAAAAGTGAGCACCTTCTCCTGTACAAGGTAACGATGAGTCTCCTGCAACCTCTGGGAGTGTTTTTGAAGATCATCAGCTTCCTTCATATGGTATGCAAGAGCTTTCTGGAGATAAACATTCTCTTTAAAAACAGTTTTTCCAGCATTATTCAATTGCCTAACAAAAATAGAGATAAGATTCCAAAACACAGATCTAAGTTTTAGTATTACCAAACTAGAACAAGGATTTATTTAACAATGTTCATTGTAACTTCCAACATTAATAATAATGACTACCACTTATGTGAGCCCTGTGTGGTGCTGTAGGATAAGTACTGTATTGGTAACCGCAAGATTGGCAGTTCAAACCCACAAGTTGCTCTTGCAACTCTATACATGGTCACTATGAGTTGTAGCAGACTCAATAGCACAAAACAACAACCACCACTTATTTAACATAAAATGGGTACTTGATCATTTGATTTGAGCCCTGATGGTATACAGGGTTAAGCACTGAATTGCTAACTACAAAGCCAGTGGTTCAAATCCACTAGGCACTAAGACGAGGCTTTCTACTACCACACAGATTTACAGCCTCAGGTCTACTATACCCTATAGGCTCTCTATGAGAGGAAATTGACTCAGTATGTGTTAGGTAGGAATCCTGTGACTAAGTTCTCTCCAAAGGGAAAATAAGAAGTGATGTGTTACTTCTACTCTAAGGCAAGTAACAGATGTATGAGTTTTCCATACTCTGTCCTAGCCACAGGATCAGATGTGAAGAACTCCAAAAGAGCAGAGGTACAGACAGCAGCAGTCCAACTCCCTGAATTACCATTAGAGGAGAGATGGCAGACCCATACTGGATTGTTACGTGAACAATAATGAAACTCCCAAATAAATTGAGATTTGGTAGTCTGTTAATACCATGTTGTTTGGTGTTACTTTCTCTAACATACCTATTATTACAGTCTGTAATGCTGCTAATAGTAAGCCCATTTTTATATGAAGATTTTTTTAAATTAACAAATCTACCTAAGTCTGTTAGCATGTAACTAGAGAACCAACGTCTAACTTCAGAGTCTATATTTTTTCCACTCTACAAGTCTGGCACAGAAAGAGTAAGGGGTAAAGGAGACAAGGGATAAAAAGGAAAGACACTGAAGAAAGTCAATCAGAAAATTTGAAGCAAGCAAGCCAGGAGAGAAGGGAGAAGTCAACATAATATACAAAGAATGAAAAAAACAAAAGAGAAGGCGAGAGGTAAGAGAAGTTACCAGAAAGAAAAGGAGGCAACAGTCTCTTACACAACAGCTTCATGGTGGGCTCTCTCTGCCAACATTATTATTTTCTTTTCAGCTTCTTGTTCTAGTCGATTCTAACAAAGAAAACAGGCTAGTTAAGTACAGAGCTATATTTGTAACAAGTAATTTTATACAAAAAAAATTAAGTATTTAGACACAAAACGAGTAGAAAGCTTTAGAGATCAATCTCTCCACCAAAACAATTGAACTCTGGAATTATTACTTTGGAACTCTGGAACCTGAGCAGACACATAAAACAAACAGTAGGGTTCCTGATGATCTCAGACACTGGAGAACCAAAGATAAAGAGGGAATCCTTGAAGAGAAAAGTAAATTGTCACATACAAGGGATGCTCAAGATGAAGTGCCAAATTTTTTTTTTAAGACACTGTAGCCAGAACGTACTAGAATGTTACATTTAAAGTGCTGAAAGAAAAAAACTGTCTACGAAGAATTCTATATCCAACAAAACTGTCCTTATTTAAAAAAAAAAAAAATGAAATTAAGATATTTCCCAAATAAACAAAAAGTACATGAGTTTATTATGACTAGATCTGTTCTACAAGAAATGCTAAAAAGGGCATCCTTCAGATTTTAGGAAAGCACACTAAATGACAGCTCAGAGTTGTACAAAGATAAAAAAGCCTCAAGTAAAAGTTGGAGGCCTGGTGTGGCACTGTGAGTTAATGCGCTGGACTACAATGTTGGTAAGGTTGGCAGTTCAGCTACTCTTTGGAAACCCTATACAGGGTCCCTATGGGTTGGAACTAACTCCATGGCACCTAACAACAACAAGTAAAGGTAATTTCATGGGCAACTACAGAAGTCAGTTTTACAGTATTTTTGGTTTGTAACCCTCTTGTTGAGTTCTCTTGTTGTTAGATATCATCGAGTCAGTTCTGACTGAAAGAAACCCTGTGTAGAGCAGAATGAAACACTGCTGGATCCTGTGCCACCCTCACAACTGCTGCTGTATTTGAATGAGCCCATTGTTGCAGCCACTGGGTCAATCCATTTTGTTGAGCTCTACATTATTTAAAACAACAAATACATTTTTAAATTAGGAATTTATCTTATTAGGCTAATAACATATACATATATACTTTGTGATAATAACACAAAGTTTGGAGGGAGAAACCATATACGGTTGTTGTTGTTAAATTCTGTTGAGTCAGTTCCAACCCATAGCAACCCAGTATAGGGTTTCCAAGGAGCAGCTGGTGAGCCTGAACCACCAAACTTGCAGTTCAAACCACTTTGCAGTCTGGCGCATTAACTCACAGCGCCACACCAGGACTCCTGTTATAGGGTTGTTGTTGTTTGTTGTTAAGTGCTGTCGAGTCAGTTCCGACCCATAGCGACCCTGTACAGGGTTTCCGAGGGTGTAAATCTTTACGGGAGTAGAAAGCCTCATCTTTCTCCCGCGGAGCAGCTGGTAGTTTCGAACCATAGGGTTAGAGTTGCTTAATGTTTATTGAAGTTAAACTGTTATCAATTTAAACTAGGTTATCATAATGTTGCTGTTAAGTGCTTTAGAGTCAGTTCCGACCCATATACAGCAACTCTGTATATGGTTTCCAAGGAGTGGCTGGTAAGCCTGAACCAACAACCTTGCACTTCAAACTGACTTTGCAGTCTAGTGCATTAACCCACAGTGCCACACCAGGACTCCATTATAATATTAGAAGGTTAAATATAATTCCCTATGATAACCACAAGAAAAATACAAAAACTATATACACAAAAGAAAAGGGAAGGGAACCAAAATGGCTCACTACAAAAAATTAAATATAAAAGAGGAAAAGTATTGAAGGAGATGAGGGACAAAAACTATATAAGACCTACACCTATGGAAGTAGTAGCTCAAAAGAGGGAACAAATCCTTACAGCAAGAATCATTCCCACCCCCTCCACACACAGAGTAGACAGGGATGGGCAACTTGGACACTGGCTACCCAAAATGGGGGGTGGGGGGGCTACAAAGGCAAAAAGTGACTGGCTACAAGCTTTCAAGAGGGAATCTAGACCCAGAGGGCCTGGAGGAAGGTAGAATCTCCAGTGAGTAGTATTCAATCTGACTAGGCAGGGCTGATGCAATGAAATGCAGACGGGTCTCTTGTGATACAACAGTGAATAATTGTTATCAGGACTGACTGTGAGGGTTGGAAATGTAAGGGTGGACGTTTTATAGCAAGGAGGGGAGTGATTGACTTTTCAGTCTAGGAGCAGAGGTCCCTAGGACCATCAAGGGAGAAGAGCAGAGAGCGGGACCCTACCCAGAGAAGCAGTGATGCCTGAAATGGAGCCAGAAATGATGATGTGGAGCTATGGAGCAGCTGGAGACTCTAGACCCAGAGAGGGAGAGCAACTGTGTGCTGAAGACCTGGGGAGCACGGGGGAAGGATTTCATGGAGGGGATTGTAACCATGGCAATAATTCACAATAAATCATTTTTTAAAAAACTATATAAGACACACCAGAAAAACAAATAGCAAAATGTCAGAAGTCTTTCTTTATCAGTAATTTCTTTAAATGTAATAGTTAAACCCTTTCATCAAAAGACAGAGATTGGCAGAATGGGTACACAAACAAATAATTATGATGCCAACATCAAGAGACACATTTTGGACCCAAAGTTACAAATAGGTTGAAAGTGAAAGGATGAGAAAAATATTACATTCAAATAGTAGCCAAAAGAGAACTGGAGTAGCTATTTAAATATCAGACAAAATAAACTTTAAATCATAATCTGTTACAAGAGACAAAGAAGAAAATTATATAATGACAAAAAAGATAATTCATCAGGAAGATGTAACAATTATTAATGTGCGAGGAGACTTTAAAAAGTTCATAGAACAATGGAATGAAAAGATAATGGAATTTTTCCACAAATTTTTTGAAGCCCTCACATCATGTCCCAAATATATGGAAAAAACATAGACAATAATAGTTGGAAACTTCGATACACCACTTTCAATAATGGACAGACACTTAGAAGATCAATAGGAAATTTAGTGGATTTTAAGAACACTATCAACCAAGGATAACTAACAGACATGCCCAGAACACTCCATTCAACATCAGCACAATATGCATTCTTCTCCAGTGCCCAGATCCTTCTTTAGCATAGACCATATGCTAGGTTACAAAACAGTCTCAATAAATTTTAAAAGACTGAAATCATATAAAGCATCTCTGACCACAATGGCATGAAATATAAATCAGTAGCAGAAGGCAAACTGAAAAATAAGCAAAATTAAACAGCACACTACTTAATTAATAGGTCAAAGGAAAAATCTAAAGGGAAAACAGAAAATACTTGTTGCTGTGTACCATCCAATCAGTTCCTACTCAAACCAACCATGAATAGAGTTTCTGAGGTGTGACTGGTGGGTATGAACTGCCAACATTGTGGTTAGCAGCCTAGTGCTTACCCTACAGTGCCACACCAACCTATCAAAACTATGGCACATAGCAAAGGCAGTACTTACATGAAAATGTATAGCCTACATTAAAAAAGGAGTCCTGGTATGGCACTAGACTAACTAAGAAAAAAAGATGGAAATCATTAAAACCTGAAACGAAATAATACTGACCCCACAGAAATAAAAAGGCAAACACTATAGACAATTGTACACCAATAAATCAGATAATCTAGATGAGATTAGGATTCCTGGTGTGGTGCTGTGGACTGCTAACCACAAGGTCTGTGGTTCAAACTCATCAGCCAAAACCAACAAACAGATGTGATGGGCAAATTCCTAGAAACACATAAATTACAGTAATTCAAGAAAAAAAAACAAAAACCAGAAAATCTCAATTTAAGAGATTAAATTCATGATCAAAAAAGTCTTTCAACAAAGAAAAGTCCAAGACCAGATGGACTCACTGGGTATATCTGCCAAATATTTCAAAAAAAAAATTAACACCAATCCTCCTTAAACTTTCCAAATTATAATTGAGGGAAAATTTCCTATGAGATCTTGTATGTTCCATAGAAGACAATCTATGAGGCCAGTATTAGCCTGATACCAGTCAGAAAAGGACACCATAAGAAAACTACAAACTGTTATTCCTTATGAACATAGACTCTTTGTAAAATGGCAATCCCTCTAGAGGATTTCAGTCATTTCTAAAAAGGAAGGGGAATTTAAGATCTTTAAAACAGATGGTTTTGTTGTCCTTGTTTTTTATTCTGCTATGATTTGGTAATATTCTTTCGTTTTCTAACAACAGATGGAAGGTTGATATATTTCTAAACATATGTGGCATTGTGTAGAATAAGCACCAGCTTGGAAACCCTATACAGGGTTACTCTGAGTCAGAACTGACTTGATGGCACTTAACAACAACAACAACAATAGTAAACAAAAGATGTCTTAATTAATCCTAATAGTATGTACCTTTTCTTCAAAAAACCTGCCTTCCAATCTTTTAAGAGTCTCCTGATGTTTCCGCTCTGTATTCCTTAAATTCTCTTTTAGCTAAAATCAAAATAACAAGCAGACAAAAGATGGTCAATAGGAAATAGAGTTGATTGGGGTATATTCCTAGAATACTCTTAATAAAGAAACATTTTCTGTTCCTTACTTAATTTTGAACATAACAAATAAAATCTTTTCAAAAGATAGTCTCATGAAATAAATAATAACACCCAAGAGGAATGTGTTCTTTAGCACAATCAATTATATGAGATCAAAAGAACACTTGCCCAAAGCCAATTTGATAAGTTAGGAAGGGATAGAACCTAGGGCAGAAATGGGGAGAGTGCTAAGACATTGTAGGGAATGCCACCAATGTCAGGGAACACTTTATATACAAGGTTTCAAATGGGAAGCTAATTTGCTCTGTAAACTTTCACTTAAAATACAATTAAAAAAAAACTTTTGTCCGATTTCTAGTACCAATTTCCCATCCTCCTCTATAGATTTGTAAGATCAGTATTAATTTGAGGTTTTTAAAGCCTTTCATGCCAGAGTATTCAGACAAGTTGTTCTCATATTTTCTAAATGTCTTTATTTTAAACATGTGGAATCACAAAATCATAAAATTTTAGAACTAAAGAGGGCTTCAAGAGTCAGACTATACAACTATCCACCAAATATTTTTTATACCCTTTTTACACATAGTGGTTTCTTAACCAAACCTATTGCCATAGAGTCAATTCCAACTCACAGAGACCCTATAGGACCGAGTAGAACTGCCATATTCTTTTCCCACAGAGTGGCTGGCAAGTTAGAATGAATGGCCTTTTAGTTAGTAGTCAAGTGCTTTAACCTCTGTGCCACTCAGGCTCCTCCAGCTAATACAAGAATCCCTATATTATCCCTTTAGTCCTGGTATGGCACTGTGGGTTAATACACTGGACTGCAAAGTCTGTGTGAATAACAAGGTCGGCAGTTCAAGCTCACCAGCTGTTCCTTGGAAACCCTATACAGGGTCTCTACGGACCGGAACCAACTCAACAGCACAATAACATATAATCCCTGGAGTGGCACTGTACAATCAGCACTGGAATGCTAACCACAGGTCTATGGTTTAACCCACCAACTACTCCTCTGAAACCTTATACAGGGTTGCTAAGCGTCAGAACTGATTCCATGGCACTTAACAATAACAACATATCATCACTATTATTAGATATTAGACATATCACTAGTTCAAATCTCATCAATACACCTAAATGTCACTTAATGGGGTCTTAATTTTAGAAAATTTCTTCCCAATAAAAACCACAAGGAATAAAAGAATTGTAAATCCTTCTAGGCAAAAAAAGAAATGAAGTATCAAGTTAATGTTAAACTATGGACCTATAGTTTATATTCACTGGGAAAAATGGAACAGATTAACATAGGCATAATCAATCTAATATTTCTACCATTAAAAAGGCAGTAGAGAAGGGCTTTTCCATCAGAAGACCAGAGTTCAAGTGCTGGCTCTCTGAGCAGCTATTGGAGTCTGAGCACTAACTTCTCCAACTCTCAGGTTTCAGTGTATAAAGAGTATAACAGTGTACCCATCTCAGAGGGTTACAGTAAGGGCTAAATAACAAATAATATACATAGTTAACACAGTTGTTGTTGTTTTGTGCTGTTAAGTTGGTTCCCACTCATAGCGACCCTGTATAGGGTTTCCAAGGAGCAGATGGTTGGTTTGAATTATCAACCTTGCAGTTAGCAGTCCAGTGTTTATCTTGCAGTGACAAACCAGGGCCATTTAATATAATGGTTAGTTGTTATTTTGCCTAATAATGTCGTCACTTATACTTTAAAAATTTCCTTACTGTGATACCTGTTCTAACTATATTAAATCTATTTTATAGGATCTCTTTCAAATGTTCTTTTTTCTCCTTGTATGTCTTTCAAACAATTTTTCAAAAAGCAGTCTTTTATGCTGTCAGACTTCCAAAATTAATGTCAATATATAAGTTTATAGAACTATCAACCATTTAAATGAGGGGAGAATTTTTCATACACCTTTGGGCTCCCTAAAAAAAAATCTATAAATTAATAAACCTGTCAAAAGATAATTAGGCAATGCATATCAAAAGCTTGTAAACTGCATGTTCTTTAACCTTTGAATTCTACTTCTAGAAGATATCCTAAAAATTAAAGATATACAAGATTTTCTTACTTACACGTTCATCACTTTATAATAGTAAAAAATTACCAAAAAAGTTCAAATGTCCACTACTCAATGGAATTCTATGCATATATTCAAAAAATCTTATAGAAAATATTTCAATGGCATTGAAAAATGTTCACAATATAGAAAGTGAAAATAGGAATTTGTATACCATAATCTTACTTTGGTAAAAAATAGCAGACAGGTAATTTTTAAGTACATGTGCAGAGAAAAAAATAAAGACCATACAACAAAATATTAATAATGGTTATTTATAGGTTGTTGTTGTAGTTGCTAAGTGCCATCGAGTCTGTTCCGACTCATAGTGATCCTGTATAGGTTTTCTGAGAAGCAGCTGGTGAGCTTGAACTGTTGACCTTGCATAGGGTATATAAATAACAATTATTAATAGTTTATTGTATACTCTTTAATATTAATAATGGTTATTTATAGTTAGTGCCGAATATCGGTGTACTGCTGTAGGATAAATTGACCAAAAGATCAGTTTGAATCTCAAGGTTGGTGGTTCAAACTCCAAAGCAGCTCCCTGGAAACCCTATACAGGGTCGCAATGAGTTGGAACCAACTCAACAGCACTAAAATCCAGCAACATAGGTAGTGTAATCGGGGAGCATTTTTCTCTCTTACTGGCTAAATTTGCTTAAATTGGTATTATCACTTTATCAAAAGAACAATGGTAAAAACTATGTTTTAAAATTAATAAACATCTATCAACACATCAGAAGATAAAACATTATTTCTTAATATTTATATGATGACTACTTTTTAATTTAGCCTCTTTTAAAGTTCGTGTAACAAATTCTCTATAATTCATTTTCTTCCATTATCAGGAAGAACTCATGGGTCCCTACACCTATCTCAGTTTGATACTACCAGCTGTTCCGTGGGAGAAAGATGAGGCTTTCTGCTCCAGTAAAGATTTACAGCCTTGGAAACCCTGTACAGGGTCGCTGTGAGTCGGAACCGACATCTATCTCAGACTCCTGGTGTGGCGCTGTGGGTTAATGCATCAGACTGCAAAGCCATTTGAACTGTAAGGTCGGCAGTTCAAGCTCACCAGCTGCTCCTCAGAAACCCTATACAGGGTCGCTATGGGTCAGAACCGACTCAATGGCACTTAACAACACCTATCTCAGTTTCTTCCCTATTTGAGGTTCCACAGAACCACTCTTGTCCCCCTATAAACTAGTATATATAAAATGAGGAAGGTTAACAAGCAATTTGTACAACATGATCTCACTGGGTGAAAATTGCATATAGGTTATTTTTTAAGTACGTGTGTTTCTGCATGGGGGCGGGGGGAGAAAGACTACTCAAAATGTCTTTGTATTTTAACTCTTTCCCACGTTCTTTAAAGGACTGAAATGTATTTCTCCTCTAGGTGGCAACATTGTTCTTTAAAAAAAAAAAATCACCCCATGACTCACTTGAAAATGTACAGTTTTTAACTCACTTTTGTTCAGCTACACGATGGCTATTTTGAGAGTTCCTGAAAAGTTAACTGCATCAGTTCAATCTGCAGCATTTTCATATAAAACAAAATTTTATATTCCATCCAGACTACTGGTTCCTTTAATTATATATATAATGAATAGACCAACTCAGTAGTTAACAAAGATTTATTGAGCATTATTATGTATCTTTTGTTTTGGTGAAAACAAAGGACAATGATGTTCATGAGTCAAACAACTCACTATCTAGTAGGGGAGATGAGACAAATGAGAAATATAATATCAAACTAGAATGAGCTAAGTAGTATGTATAAAAGGGATTTTTAAAATGCTATGAGACACAGAAATGACTTTTAAACATGATTCAGAGAAGTTCCTCGTGGAGAACATGCATTTGAGATCAATCTTTAAGGGATGTATAAAAATTTAATGCATGCAGACCTAACAGGAGAAGACTGGAGGTAGAAAAAATAGTGTCAACAAAGTAAGAGAAGCAGGGAAGACTTGCAGGATGAGTGAGTAACCAATTTGGTGGAAGGAAGAGATGTAGTAAAAGCGTATAATAGTGTTCCAAGGTAGGTGCAGGGTATTGGCTTTCAGGCTAAGGCATCTGGATAACATTCTGTTTTCAGTGGAGAAACACTAAAGAAAATTCTTGAGGTGAACAGAACTGTGATATTTTAAGATTATTCCCACAGCAGTGTGTACTTTGGACCTCAACTGTGTTGTGGTTTTAAGACATTCTTTAACATTCTTCTCTTCAAAAGATGATGCCTAATTCACCACCTTTGATTGTGGGCCAGACTTAGGGACTCACTTCTAGCTTCAACAATATAGTAGAAGCAAAGTTTCAAATAGGTTCACCCCGGTTCCATCATGGCCAATGGAATGATGCAGAAATGAACCCAAATTTTTTTAATTTGGTGAACTGGATCACTAACTAGAACAGGAAAAATTATGAGTAGAAGCCCTGCTAAAAACTTAATTTCCCTCTTAGGAATCAGCACAGCAACCAAATCTTTTGAGGAGCTGAGTGTGAAACACCAGTACCTTATACTCAAAGAGGACAGCTGGCTGCACACTTCGGAAGTGTGTCACTCTCCACGGTCCTGTCAATAATCCAACACTACCTACCAGACTCCTTAAAGGGTTCACTACACCTGCTCCAAATCTCCCATTCCAGGGCTTCTACCCATAATTTTTCCTGTTCTGATTAGCATTCTGGAAGATCCAATTTTTTAAACTCCTAGTCTGCTCCAATTTTGTTTCCTTGGCCATGACTGAACCAGTTCCAAGCCCTGGGCAGAAACAAATCGGCAACTTCTTGAACAAAGACAGCCTCATGGGAAAGTTTTGAGATAGGTGCTCAATTATGACAGGAAAGGTTAAAATCTTTAAATCTAGTTAGTGATCCAGTTCACAGTCTGAAAAGTGACTTCCCAATTCCTGAAGTGTCTTCCCAATTCATAATGAAATGTACCAATTCATTACTTTAAGTTTGAGTTAAATCTTTTACAATGATTTTTTAATATTATGTATAATATAACCAATAATAATCAAACCGTTGACAACTACTTCACTACTAGGAGCCAATGATCTCAGTATCCCAAATAATGCTGTTAGTTAGCAGGTGATGCTAACAGTCATATTTTACAGATGAGAAACCTGAAACTCAGAAAGGTTAACAAACTATCCAAGGTCACACTGATACAAGCAACAGAACTAGGATATGAAGTCCATGATTTCAACCACTACATTTTCATCTCTACTTTATTAATTTCTCATACACCCTCTCAGTTTGGCAGTTAGCAAAAGGGTAAAGAGAAACTTTTCCTATTAAAGTTTGTTCTTGCTAAATTGAGCACTAGGTAGGCAGAGGAGAACTGGACAAATACTGCATGCTTAGAGACAGCATTTCATGACTGAAAGTAAGAGACACTAAGACAGAGTTTCTTAAATAATACTAATTATATTAATAATTTTAGGAGTAGTAATAATACCAGCAGGATCAGAGACAGCAGTAATATTTATAAACACACAGTGCTAAGCATTTTAAATAGATTGTTTTATTTGTTCTTCACAATGATCCTTTGAAATTTGTACTAGTATTCTCATCTTCATGTTATTAAACAGAGTTAGAAATATACACTTGAAACTTAACAAGGTACTCAAGTAAGAAATATACAATATTTATACTCTAGCAGTCTGATTCAGAGCACCAATTTTTAACCTACTCACACTACACTTTATATATAATGATAAATGGTAAGATTCCTTCTACCACTACTACTACTACTAACAGCATTGGTATTTATAGCTATTCAATGGTGTGCTAGTTTTTTAACAGGCTGTTTAAAGCATTAGTAGCATGAAAATTGGTCACAACAAAATATCTACACTACAAAAATCAGGCCTCTTTTTTTGTGGAAAGTTGCATACCACTGGGCAACAATCTGTGGCAACAACCACTCCCTTCACAATCCTTTCTACTCCTCAGCTGGCTTCACTGCAATGGCCACGCAGAGCTCAGACACCATACTCACAGTTAAGGGGTTTATTAGGGAAGTTAACAGGATCACAAAATACTCAGGACACAGATGTTCCAGTCAGCTGCTGAGAAAGGCCCACAGGACACACCACTCCACCATAAGGCTCAGCCTGGAGGCGCTCAGCACTAGCTCCCCTACTTAATTGCCTGGAGGCACCCCACTCTAAAAAAGCAAGCTTCCTGTCCAAAGTCACTTAGCTTTACTTGCTTAGTGGGCTGGGAAGTCCACTGCTCTGTCTTATGTTCTTGGTTCTGCTAACTGATGCTCCTCTGCCAACTCCTCTGGTGTCACAGCTTTCTGTCCCCAGGTCAAGGAGTTTCAATGTACAGGGATCTCAGAGTCCAAAGGACACACTCCCCGCTCCTGGCTCTTCTTTGATGGTAATAAGATTCCCCTCTCCTGTTTTTGAGATGGTTCATTTTATACCCATGCTAGAGTTTTGCTTTTATAGTAAAATTAACTGTTAACATCCACAGTTGAATCATGTCATCCTGTCAATAACTTCTCCCACCTTCTCTTACCCAGACCCAGCAGGGCAAAAACATTATTTGGTGGGAGTTAGGCTATGGCTAGAAGAGACACTAAATAATTCACTACACTACACACTATTTATATAGTTCTTATCTGTGCTATTTTAAATACTTTACATATACTAACTCATTTAATATAACAATCGTATGAGACAGTAACTGTTATTATCCTCATTTTAAAGATGAGGAAACCAACACATAGAGAGATTAAGTAACTTGCTGAAAGTCACATAGTTAATTTCTTATGCTACTTATGCCTGGAACTCTGCCATTTATTGCATTAAAACTATATTCTGAGTGGAGGAAATGAAAGACAAGGGAAATGTCAGAGTAACTTTTTGAAAATACTCAGTGTTCCTTACCCACAGAGCCTTTAACAATTTTCTAAAATCATTGATCATCATTCTAAACACATTTTCTTTTGGGACTTTGCTACTTGGCCCTGATGCTTTCTAAGAATTGTAGCTTGTTTCTCACTGAAACTAAACCAAAGGTTGGGCTGTTGATAAATGTGGGAGGGGTGTATTGGCTAAGATTTGGTGAATCCACTAAAACAACTGCTTAGAGAAAGATGTAACAGTCTAGATCATTCACATCTTGTCCTAAACTGATGCGCCTTCCCCTTTTTCTCTCACATAATATCTAAATGTCAAAAGGACTTCTTTGCTCTCTCACAGAAGTAATGTTTGTGAAGGTTTTTGCAGATGTTGGTAGTTAATTCTAATTTCCTTTTTTATATATAAGAGAAGGAAACTTACATCATCTAATTCTTTCTCCACTTGGATTTTTCTTTTCTGGAACTGTCTTATCGTTTTCAGTTCTGTCTGAATCATGCCAATTTCTTTAGCTTTTAAATGAAATTGTCCTTCCAGGTCACTTATTTGCATAGTGTATTTTTGTTCCTGTATACAAAAACAAGTAAGCAAACAAAACAAAAACAGGTAAATGAGTTAGGAAAGAGAATAGGAGACCCACATAATCATGTACCATCTGAAGTCAAAACAAAACAATAACAAAAAAATAAAAAACAAGGGAGAGCAGGTATTTTTTCTTAATATTTTTCTTATTGAAAAAGTAATAATACAAACTTGCTAGAGAAAAATACGAAAAAATAAATGTAAAACTATCCATAGCTTTATCACACAAAGACAACCACTGTTAATATTTTGGCATGACATGTATATGTTGTTGTTGTTGTTAAGGGTCATTGAGTCACTTCAAACTCATAGCAACCCTATATAGAGTTTCCAAGCAGAAAGCCTCATTTTTCTCCCATGCAGCTGCTGGTAGGTTTGAGCCACCAACATTATGGTTCATAGACCAGTGCTCATCCTACAGAACTACCGTGTGTGTGTGTTTCTAAAATATAATTGAAATCATAATATAAAACACACAGTTGTTTCCTGCATTTCATCTAATATTTTATAGTAAACATTTCTCTATATTATTAAAATGTATTTTAAAACATTTAAAATACCTTCCAAGAAATCTTTGATATTCCATAATTACTCATTTTCCTACTATTAGACATTACAATGAACATCTGGAATAAAATTTTATCCATATTTCTGATTATTTCCTTAGGAATATTTAATATGCTATGGGAATGTGATGGCTCTGTAGGATAAACACTGGACTGTGAATTACAAGGTTAGCAGTTCAAGTCCACCAACCACTCCATGGGAAAATGATGAGACTTTTTGAGTCTGCAAAGATTTACACCTTTGGAAACCCCATACAGACTCACTATGAGTTAAAACTGACTTGATGGCACGTAACAACAATAATCACAGAGGCTGCTGAAAGGGGATATCTGACTAAGCATCTTACCACTGAGAGCTGAAGTTTGTTTTATTTCCTAACGAATAATGTAAGAGCCAAATTTCCACCATCTTGAAAGAAAATGTTACCTGAAGTGGCCTCCTAGCATCCTTTTCTGACAGCGTCTCAGCTTCCTTACGGAGAATTACCTCTTTCACATTGATTATTGTCTGCTACTAGCAGACAGAGTATTCTATCCTCTTCGTTTATACAGTGAGAATCTAGACAAGTTCTCCCTCACTGAAATTTTGGTTATGAGCAAAATGTCAAGATTGCTAATTTTCAGTAGCACCTCTGTGGGTTTCTGCAGTTTATGCTTCCTGTATCTCCAGGGATACCTTGGCTTCTGACTGTTTCCAAGCCTGGCTCTTGAATCTTCCCATTGAGTCTGCAACCTCCTACTTTCAATCAATTTTCTTTCTCTTAATTTAGACAGTTTTGTTGTTGGTGGTGGTGATGTGCCGTGGAGTTGGTTCCAACTCACAGCGACCCTGTACAGGGTTTCCAAGGCTATAAACTTTATGGGAGCAGAAAGCCTCATTTTTCTCCTGCAGAACAACTGGTAGTTTTGAACTGCTGACCTTGCAGCTCACAGCCCAATTTGTAGCCACTAAGCTGCATAGGGTACTAGGATTCAAAGTATTCTATCCTAACTAGTATGTAATTCATTAGATCGCTTATCTGTCTAGTGAGTATTAAACAAAATTATGAGGTTTCAAAAGGTTCGTGGGAAGGTTTCATTATCTTTTAATTCCACTTTTCCACAGACTTTCTGAAGTCCCGTTGTATCTGCCCAGTGACAGACAGTGCAGTGATAGAGAGTGGTGTATTCTAAAGTTGAAAGATAAAAAGAATGACTTCATAATTTTGCCCAGAGTCAGGCCTAATCCTACTCTGTTGTTACTGTGAGCTGCTGTAGAGACAGCCTTGACTCACAGTGACCCCATACACAATGGGACAAAATGCTGCCTAGTCCTGAGGCATCCTCATGATTGGTGGGGGATGGGACCACTATGAGTGACAAGGTTTTCACTGGCTGATTCTCAGAAGTAGATAGCCAGGCCTTTCTTCTTAGTTTGTCTTAACCTGGAAGCTCAGCTGAAACTTGTTCAGCATCACAACAGCACACAAACCTCCAAAGACAGGTGGGTGGAAGCTGTCCAACGAGGTACACTGCTTACCAGAATTAAACCCAGGTCTCCCACATGTAACACAAGGGTTCTACCAGAGAATCACCAATGCCTCAATCACACTATAAATAAAGCAAAGTATTAAAGAACTTAAATGGAAGCTTTGGGTTAATTTCACTTTTTCCCAGTAAAGAATTATAAAGCAACTTCCTTTTATTGCAATATTTATTTATATTTTTCTCTAAGATGCATTTTAATTTATTTATACATAATAAAATATATACATGAGAATAAAAATGTATA